ACACACACACACACACACACACACACACACACACACACACACACACACATATATATATATATGTGTGTAATATATGTTATATATGTAATATATGTAATATATGTAATATATGTACATATATACGTATACATAAGAATATATACATGTTTATATTGCATGATCCTACTGTATATGTTCTTGTTTAGAAATGTGTGACAAAAAACGTTATAGCTCTATCTCGTTCTTGATAAGATCTGCTTAGGACATGGCCTGCAGGAGAATATCCACGACTGATCACCTCATTGTTCTAGGGCGGCAGTTAATATGGTCAGCCAGATTCTGATTTTTTTAAATTTTGCGCCCTGATTTCTGATCAACATTTCTACTTTTGTCAATCTTTCTCCCTGATTCGAACGACGCAATAGGCAAAGATGTGGCGATTGGAGCGAATACTATCATAGGATCGCTTGCTCAACTGCACGATGGTGTCGACATAGGGGACGAGAGTGTAATCGGTTACAACTGTACGTTAAAACCAGACGCTTCGGTCGGTGACGGTGTTGCATTGGGTGCGCGTGCACGTCTGGAATCGGGATCGAGTATCGGGGATAATAGCAACGTAGGATCAGGGTAAGTAGATTTATCAAGTTTGCAGTGTTTCTGACCCACTCTTTTCCTATACACGCGAATGCTCGAAATACTTGAAGTTGGGTTACCATGCTGGGCCCAACTGTTGTGACACTAGATACTGCCAAGTCAGTCAGTTGTCTGTAGTAGACTATCGCCACCCACCTTACAAGTTATATCGTTGACTGAGGGAGTTTGTAGTCTTGCGCATGACTGTGATAGTCCGTGCAGTTGTAGCCGTTCTCCTCCAAAACAAAGTGTTACTTACCTAGCCGACTGTTTGTGGCAACCATGTCTCATTGCAGCTTCAATTTGGGGGTTGGGTCTACGGTCGGTGAGAATGCAACAATCGGCATAGACAACACATTGGGAGATAATGTCGAAATCGGAAGTTGTAAGTGATCTTCCCATCAAACCGGTTTACTAGCCTCCCCTCTTTTGCAAGATGTCTACCGGGAATTGATGATTTGGGTTTATCTGTCTTTCCAGACGTCTGTGTTTTCAAGATAGTCATATGTGCTTTCAAGTTCTATAATGTTTCATTTGCTACTGGTGTACACAAATTTTGTCTAGCGTGTATGTTTGTCATTGAACATGCAATATCATTCAGGGGGTTTTTTTTTTGCTTTTTAATCCTCAGAATGTAGTTTTAATAGAACCAAATGGTCATATGAGTACACTATCAATCAGCAACGAGTTAGGCATTAGGTTCACTTTCACTCAATCAGCACATGAGATTCTTCTCCCGAGGCATCGAAGCGTTCGTCATCTGCACTTGCCGTGTCCAGCCCGTTCAAAATTTTGTCCCTGCAATTGTATTCAAGACCAACTAGTCCTACCTCTGACAATCTTTTATTTGTCGACGCCGTACAGCCGTTAAATTTGGGCCAAATTCAAGAGTTGCCAGTGGTGCAGTGGTTGAGAGTCAAGTCACCCTTGCTGAGAATTCGTTTGTAGACTCTGGGGTGGTAGTACCGTTTGGAAACATCGGTGGTCCTGGACAGAAGTATACCGTGAAAAAAGAAATATCAGGTATGAGTAGTTGCGCGAATCTAGTGCTTGCAATCATATGCTAAGTACTGTATTATAAGGTAAAAGTTGCGGAATTTTGAAATCGATGTATCTGGTGACCTATTTGGGACTTATATGCCTGCTAAAAAGTTTCAAATGTATGTTAGTTGAGTTAAATGTCATATAAAGCAATACCATATCTGGTTGAATGTGTATCCGCGATATACAATGAATGTGCTATGATTCAACTTCACCACGCAGCAGAAGTCTTAAGCTTCGGACCTGCCATCACAAAACTTGTGACTTAATTTGGCGTTGTTTGTAGATGCCCATAAATCATGCATGCCCGAGAATACGAGAATAGTAAAAAGGTACATCTTGGTCATTTCAACCTGTTTCTCGACCCGTAGCAACAGGCATAACACAGGAGCGCATCTGCGAACTCCATTTTTGTGCTCATGCGTTTTGTTCTATATCATCCTTGCCTATACAAGACAACAGTAGTTACAGCTAGACGCTTTCATACCCTGCGCTTCTGTGGTGTGTTGTTGCAGTGCGCGAATCTCCTCCGCTCATCGATTAATTTGTGAGGTTCGTACGGTACTTACGCTGAGGGTATCTCGTTCATTGAGTGGGCTCCCCCTATTCCAATATTGTACATCCCTCGGTTGACTCACACGGCCCATCGGCACCTTTCCATCGTTCTGCAGCCGGTATAATTGCAGGTATTGTAGTATGTGCCCTGGCCTTGGCCCTGTCGGTGTATCTAGCGGTGCGGCTACGCAAACAACACAACCAGAAGAAACACTACGATCGGTGGATGGGCAAAGGCAAAAATCCGTACTTTTCCGAATCCGTGTTTGAGAACTACACCGCGCAAGATAACACACTGCGGAAAATTCGCGCAGCCAAGTATGTGGTCTCATTTGTAGCCAGGGCTTAGCTTTAGACATCGGTGTCGTATGCTGTCAGTATCTTTTTTCCGTTGGACCTATGTACTGATGTTATGTGTTGTTCATGCGAATATGAATTGCTTTCGCGGATTGAATTTGCGTGAATTGATGATTACCTAACACCTTTTCAATCCTTTAATCACACACACCCTTCTTTTAAATATACTTATACTCAGTTCTAAGTACGTACCGTTAGAAAATCTCTTTAAGGAGTCCATTATCGGCAGCGGAAAGTTTGGAAACGTCCATAGAGGCGTACTCAAACATCAGGGGGCGCTCATCCCTGTTGCAATCAAGGTATCTCATGGGTGACCTCGTGTCCTTAGTGATTGTGTCTTTCAATAGAGTACAACATTCACGTTACTTCATATTTCAAGTAAACATTTAAGTTGTTCTTACCCCTGCTCACAATACCGCCGTTTCGCAACGAATCAATCAGGAACTGCGCATATTAGAAGAAAACAGTGAGGAAGAGGTACTGCGAGAAGTGGACTTGATGAACCGACTTGATCACCCCCACGTAGCGTACGTGTTAGGTATGTACAGGCTTGATCAATTTTTAAGTGGAACTCGTAAAGTACCGAGTATGCCAATGTCTGTATGCAGCTAGGTAGCGATGGAGATATATAAATATTTGCTCATACTATGCCGCACATTCACGAACTCTTGTAGTTTTCCCAAATTATCGTTTGTCCCTTGTTACGTCCATCGCATGCACGGTATCTAAATCCACAGAACAATGCACATCTACATAGTCGTACCTTACATCATAGAGTACGTATCACAGAGCCAACTACTGATATCACCTCGGTGGTTGCCTTCACGCTATTCTGATTCAGGCGTGACGAAACGACTGCACCAGCAGATTCCATGCGTGGTCATGGAGTACCTTCCTTTGGGTAGTCTCTACGACTATCTCAAGGGACGTGATGGCGAGTATCTACCTACCACTGCTGTACTGGCACTGGCCCATCAGTTGGCTGAGGGTATGATATATCTCGAGAGCAAGGGCATAGTGCACCGAGATTTGGCCTCCAGAAACTGTCTCCTGGGCCCGCCCACCCCGGACTCACACGGCGTCCCGATATTGAAGGTCAGCGATTTCGGGATGTCGCGGATACTGGAGAACGTTCAGGTGATTGTGCAGAGCACCGACAACAAGGTGCAGGTGATGAACCCGTACCTGTCTATGACCACAAGCATGACCACGAATAGTCTGGGGGTGCTCGGGGAGAGTGACCCGAAAACACTGAGCAATCGGGCGGGGAGCTCTAAGCGGTACAAGTCCAAAGAGTACAAGAAGGAGACGTACAACCAGATCCTGCGGGTCGGGTGCACAGGGAATGAAGGTAGCGATTTGCTCAGGCAGTCGTCTGGCGATGTAGTGGCGGACTTTGAGGGCATGGGCGCATTTATACCAGTTCCAACCCCGACGGGTTTGTATGCACAACCGGCATCGACTCACCCGCAGCAGCACTGGGGAGTGAGCCATGGTCAGCACAGTATGTACAGCAATAGCACCAGTAATACCAATAACGTATCGCATACCACCATCGAGAAGAATCGAAAGTCACTGAGGGTAGCCGCCGACACGTTGATGAATAATCTGGTAGTGGTGGGCGATAGGATATTGGGAATCAGGAGAGCGAGCTGGGCCCCAGGCCAGATGGAGGACAGGGGTGTGGTAGAGGGGAGTATTCACGGACCTATGCCCGGGCAGATGCACCAGAACATACAGCAGAGCGTGATGCAGCCAAACAACGGCCAACCCTTCCAACAACAACTGTCCTACCAACGACCACCCTCCTACCACCAACAACAACAACAACCCTACCAAGGATCACCATGCTACCAAGAACAGCCAGCCTACCAAGAATCAGAACAGCCCCAGGGTCAACTACAGTCCTATGAGTTGCACCGCCAGAGTTTGTATAATGTTCCACAACAACCACGCCACCAATATATGGGCAGATCAAGCCCAGTCTCTCAGGCAGGTGTAGATGATGAAATGGGGTATCTGAACATAAATGCCAAGCGCCTTGCGCGCGGGTCAAAACCGGTCTCACAGGTAGGTGCTAATGAAGAAAGGGGGTATATCAACATTACTGCCAAGCACCTTGCCCCCGAACCACTGGCAAACAAGCAAAAGAGTAGCGGTCCATCGTATATGGGCCGTAATGGGGGCAAGGTGCGGCTGCACCAGGGGCCCAGCACAGATGCTCTCTTCATGGGTGTCAGGGAATCACAGGCCTATACGCACTCTGATGAGGATACAATCAGCAGCACGGAGGCAATAACGGCTGCCAGGGCTATGGATGTAGGTGCCCATACAGGGGAGGTCTCGCACACACAGACACACAGCGGGGTGTCTCCTCAGGTCAAGCCCCGCCCCCGGCCCACGTCGCATGGAAGCAGTCGGGGTGCCCGACGCAGCAGTACGGCCAGCGCCACACACAGTATATCCGAGCAGGAGGAAGATGGAACAAGCAGATCACACACGCACATGCTCGGTGACCATGGGACACGCTCAGACGAAGATGGGCTCGGGTATGCCAGTGATGCCATGCGGAAATCATATGCATCGACACCGGAGACTGGCTATAAGGCCCATGCGCACGCACACACACACGCACACGCACACGCACACGCACACGCACACGAAGACGACGAGGGCTACAGCGAAGAAGGCAACGAGTATATGGAGTCTGGCGGAGACGAGCGGGCCAATGTGCCGCCCATTACCATGGCTCAGATGGTAGGGTTTAAGGGACATGACCTGGGCATGATTGACCAAGCAACGGGTGAGTGCATTGATGGTACCACGTGTTCAGGCTCAGTGGAGCTGCTGCCCAATGGCAGGCGTCCGGATAGTGTGATCAGCTTCAACACGTGTTTCCCGAACTTCGAGGACGAGTTGAAGAAGGAGAAAGGAGCCTACAAGGACAAGGAGATATTCGAGGTGGGCGATAATGCTGCGCTGCCGCTGAGGTGGATGGCCTTGGAAAGCGTGCAGAGGCACGTGTTCAGCACCAAGTCTGATGTGTGGTCGTACGGGGTGGTGCTGTGGGAGATTGCGAGCCTTGCTGCGTTGCCGTATGGTCCGGGAGATATCCACGAGATACTCGCCAAGATCGAGACCGGGTATCGGCTGGAGAGACCGAAGCACTGTCCCGAATCATTGTATGATATCATGCTTAGTTGCTGGCAGGAAGAACCAAACGACCGGCCCTACTTCGCCGATATTGGGGAAAATCTGAGCTTCACCCTGGGCGAGATAGTCCGCAAGCGGAATCTGGACAACAAGTCCTCGGGCAACAGGACTGGGTACATCAGCAGTTGCTTTGATCAGGACCACCTGCGCTCACAGTATGTAATGGAAGCACAAGCGCAAGCGCCAGCTCAAGCGCCAGCGCAGCGGAAACAGAGCCAAAACTTGCAGCAGGTGGCGTCTACAGGACACTACCTACAGGCAGCACATCTATCGATGAAGCCCAGTGAGAGCCTGAGCCAAGCAGGCCCGCGGGTATTGCACAATGTGGAAAGTTCCGGGAACTATCTGGTGGCGACGCCGAACACGCCGATGGTAGGGGACTCCGATGCGAGGGCTAAGTTTTTATACAGTTTCATGGAGGACGAGACACACTCAACGCCGCACGTGTTGGGTGTGGGGAGTAATTCTTCGGACACCTTCCACTATTATGAATGTGGACCGGTGTCCAATAAGAACCACAGAAGCAGCTCTATGCTATACAGCAACAGTAATGAGTCGGGCATGGGTAGCAGTGGGACATCACTGCGTGGACATCAGATGTCACCACGTGGGCCTCAGCTTTCACCACGTGTGCATACACCGCCCAGTGCACACATGCTGTCGGTGGAGAGGCCGCACACCTATGCGCGACCGCATATCAGAGGCTATGACCCTGACGAAAGCCCGTCGTCGATGTGATTGGAGGAGAGTAAATAGGTTAATAATAATATACAGCCCAATTTATAGAGTACACATGGTATTTCACATCGTAGCTGTGTTAAAGCAATTACAACAACAGAGAAAACAATCCAACGCCTGATCAAGCAAACACCTTATCTTTCCTGGTTTACAAACTACATTGGTAGATTTTATCTGGACGTTACCAAACTCTTCCGACTGATATATAATCGGGAGGAAATAACACCACAAGATGTATATGTCGCAACATAGCGGACCTAAAAAGTCGGTCACCAGAAACATGGCCTTGTGCACATCTTTACAGCAGCACGTGTCAAATATCTCAATTTGAAATGAGCGCGTTGAGGCTAATGATGTGTATGCAAAGTAACTTCCCTCCGCTAAATTTCTAGGCCAGATCTCTTCGATAATCGGTTATAAGTGTTTACCTTTCGTCTTGCAACAAACAATGCCTACGAATGCTTGATGACGGATGCACGCTAACTTAGTTCTTAGTTTGAATAGTCAACCTGGTACACAAACCAGAGTGCTTCTAAAGCCAGGTGATAAAACAGCAAGCAAGTGTAAGATATATCAAACTTGGCATGAGCGCGTTTAGGCTAGTGATGCGTAAGAGATGTCCTGGTACTATTCAATAAAACCGTCGTACAGGTGTAATAGTATACTAGGTTGCTGGTATGAGTAAATACGCTTTCATCTCACAGAACTGGAGTTTCCTATGCAGCATGGTAAGCTTGCGATTGTAGGGAGGACCACAGAAAGCTTGTACAGGTAGCATGTCACTAAACTATCAAAAACCTGCTGTTGCAATTGGAAAGGAAGGCGAATATATCACTGTCGGTGTATTATACGCATGAGTGGACCCATGAACACAAATGAAGGGATTTTAGGCAGCCGGGAGTTAAAGCTAGAATTAATGATACTCTTGTGTAGACGTGATGGAAGAGTGAATACGATTAGTGATTACCTGTCAGCTGCTGTTTACGGACTTTTATTATTTTATTTATCTGACACATCGGGGAGATACCCAATCAGATGTCTTTGTTTATTTATTCTGAACAATATTCATCACATCCTGTGCTGTGGGACTATTATACATTCAGCTGCTGTAATAACGTATTTGTCATATACAGAAGGAGGGGATGTATGCAACAGTAATACGGCTAAAAAAAGAGAGAGAGAAGGAGAGAGGGTTAGAGAGGGTTAGTAAACCCAGTCTTCCCAAAGCAGTGAGCATAACCACAAGTAGATTGTAATTTATTTTAAACTTACTGCTATCTATCGTCGCCATGTCTGGGCTATTTGCTCTTGGGTCGACTATAGGGTCGCTGAAAGACCTGTTCTTCAACGCGCCCACAGTGGCCTTTCGCATCCTTGTTATCTCTTCTGTGCTCATAAATGTGCTCAGAATGGCCTACGAATACGATTCTTGCAGGTATTGGAGATTAATTTTCGACTGATGCACGTGTGTGCGTATGGGGTGGTAGTATCGGCCAGCTCCTGCTGTCAATATGGTTAGATTGTGTGTAAAGTAGCAGAGTTTTGTGGAGCATAGTGAGTATGTGGTTGCATATTGTATAATTATGTTCCACATACACACGCAAAAAAGAAAAAGCACACACAAACACACACACAGATACACACACAGACACGCACACAGACACACAGGCACACACACAGATACACACAGACGCGCACACACAGGCACACACGTACACACACAGACACCTAGACAAAAGCACACATAT